AGACCATGGGTTCGACAGGTGTATCCAGGACTGGACATGTGATTTCTGTCAACGCATACTCCTTTCAAAGCCTGGCTGGGTGAATCATGTGAAGTCACATAAAGAAAAAAATCACCCTTGACATTCCCCAGACACCGAGTGTCACAGCCTGCATGCCACTAGCAACGCCAGGGGTTACAGAGAGTTGGAGCGAGAACAAAGAGGAGGTAAGGATGAAGAGACAGTTAGGGGATAGATCAAGGCATCTGGAGACGTCGATTGACGTTACATTTGTATAGTTGGAGATTAGAGCTATCAGGAAAACAAGAAATTGGGAGGGAGTTCCACAGGCGACTAGTGCGAGATATGAAGATATGGGAGTGGAAGAGACGGCTACATTTAACAGTTTCGACAGTGAAAGAGTGACAGCGAGATGCCAGCCTAGTTGAGGGTTTAGTATTTTGATATGTTATTTAAAATCTTCAAAGATGGAATCCAATTTGCAGGGTTTTCCACGTCAATAAGAAAACACATTCTGTTCTTGTGGTCTTTCCTCACGATGTATGGGTGATTACCTTTGATTTTTCTGTCTGTGTGTATTGTAAAATCCCATGAAATTGTTACAGGTCCTATCTCTGTGTTATATAGCGTAACTATGAACATTACTGGGTATATACCAATCCTCATAAATACGGTGGACACTATTGTAATATGCTGTGTAAGTACCCCACCACTAGCAGTGGTTTACCTACTTCACGCCGCTGGCGAGTATTGTATTTTATTGACGTTACAAAATTACCATTTTATTTCCAACCTCCGTTTTTTTCACCCACATTTCTTCACCCACTGGAAATTCCATCTTAAATTTGCTGGCTTCCATTATTACTAAATATTTTTCATATTTATTTCATATACTTCGGCCCAGATCAGTAAACATTTTTCTGTAGTTTCCAGATATCTTTGAAGAACGATGCTTGTATTTTTATAATACAGTTCTAGTTGAACTAATCGTCTGCCTCCTTTGGATCTGGGCACATACAGACGATCGACAGATGATGCATGCTGTGGCTAGGGAAAAGCTTTCTCGTTTTGACATCCGTTCGATCAATATCAGCTATGGCCTAAATAAGGGATGTTGAAACTGAAAGGGTTGATGGCTGATATTCTGTTTTGTGAATTCAACTCGGCATTTTAAACCAGACGCATGCGCCCTGTAGTATTCTTTGCTCACTTTCGTCTTCATCTGCATATGCTGTATTCCATCTCTTTTGCAGACCCCTAGTTATTTATAAGTTTCTTCTTGTTCAAGTTCCCTAATTTTTGTGACAAAATCTAGATCTATTAAGTGTGTTTCTATAATCCTCCCCTCCTTGAATGTTACTTTCCGCATTTATCTAATCCGAAATCGATACCGATGTTATCACTGAAGCATGTTACAGTATCGGGGATACCTTTCAACTCATTGTCGTCTTTGGCAAAGAGTTTGATATCATTTATGTAAAATAGGTGATTAAAGGCGCTCAGTTTCATTTGTATCCATAGTTATTACTGTTTAATCCATGCAAAAGGGGGATTAAAGCCAGACAGCAAAGAAGGGACGACAGGGAGTCTTCTTGAAAGATTTCTCATCAGATATTCAAACAACTGGAATTGGTAGTACTTTTGGTATGATTAAGGTACAATGTGGTTTATCCTTCCTTCGGCAATTAGCTGGAGATTCGTCTCAAACTAAGCTAGTCGAACTCTCTGCCTTCGGGCGGTGAGGAACCCGGAGGAGGTTAAACCGAAGGGTAGAGTCTCGTCTGGGGTGGTAGACAGCTACTCGACCCCGTTTTTTACGGGGTCTACGGGGAATTTTTGCCCGAGCCTACGGGTTCGGTACCCACTTTACATTCGTCCTTGTGCCACGTGGGGAGGTTGGCAAATATACTCGAAAGAGCAATAAAAACCTCGATATCTATATTATATATTATCTACTTCTAGGCAATATCACTTTTATCATGTTTAACTAATTTGCATATTGATTTAAAAAAAAACTTTATGTCATTAGTTAACTGTTCTTATATTCGAGGAATGTTTTGATTTCCATGTCAAAAATAATTCTGGTTAGGAATATCGTCGTACATAGTACAGGAAAGTGTTTGAAATTTGCATTTTACTTGTCCTTCAACAAGTTGGCATCTATTTGTCAAACTTTCCTTTACTATAAGAAGCTAATTTATTTCAAGCAGTGACTATATCTTACTTTGCGAAGCATCAGCGAACAGACGAAGCCAGCTAGTAATCATTAGATAAGAAACGGATAAAGAATAAAATTGTAGTAAATGTTAAAAATGTTTAAATTATAAATGATAAAGAGATCAACTATATTAAATGAATACTAGAAGATTTGCAAAATTATTATTGTTATTATTATTATTATTATTATTATATTTCTTTTGATTCTAATGTATACTTATTACTTTCTGGGACCCAACCAGAGACCTAAGGCATCATTTTCCACTGATCATTTTTTGGGGAAAAAGATACGATCAGAAATATTATAGAACAATGAAGCCCTTCGTAATGTGAGAGATGTACTTGTCAGTACGTTTTTTATATTTCTTTAAGGCATGGGCTACCAGGAATCCCTACAATGAGTGTATGTGAATCTTTTCCAATCAATCTGAGGACGCCAACTACAACAGGTATTGTCGATCCTTTCATGTGTCATATTTTTGAGACTTCGATTTCAAGGTCCTTTTTTTTTTTGAAGATCTTCAAAGACACATTGCACTCTGCAGGGACTGCTATATCAACAAGGAGGCACATTTTGCCTTTGCAGTTTCTAATCACGATGTCTGGACGATTAGACTGCGTGCATTTTAAAGTGCCATAAAATTGTTACTGGTTCTATTTCTGTAAACGAGTCTGGGTGGTGTTCATACCAATTTCTCGCAGGTCCCTTTCCAAAGAAATTGCAAATGTTCCAGTGTAGGTATTGGCCCATATTTAGCCCTGTTTTATATTCAGTGGGTGTCAATACCGTGTAAATGGATACAACATGATCAATTGTTTCTGGATATTTATCACAGCATCTGCATTTTCAGCTAACTAATTATTATTATTATTATTATTATTATTGTTAATAATAATAATAATTATAATAATATTTATTTATTTATTTTGAATGTAATCTGGTACTTTTTTAGAGTTGATGTTGTGGGTAGGTGCGAAGTGGCTGTCTGTCAACGCCAAGAACGTCAGAGAGTACTTTTCGTAAATCCTTTGTGTATCCAATATAATTCTCTCTCTCACTCACTCACTCTCTCTCTCTCTCTCTCTCTCTCTCTCTATATATATATATATATATATATATATGCAAACGCTATATCATTTTTGATATATCAAGAACAATTTTATGAAAATATATGTCAAAGCAAAAAAAATAAAATAATAACATAAATAGCTAATAGAATACTTGACAAATCTTGTAAAAGGAATTTATTCTATAACCTGTAATAATTGTCACAGTAATACATAGAGGAAACCTCAAGAAATTAAATAAAAGATTATGTATTAAAGACATTTTACAAAACAACACATTCCATACATTAGTTGCTCACCGTAATGAGTCTGACCATTATTTCGATTTTAAAAATTCTACTTTAATTAAAAGAAAAATCAATTTACCAAAATATATCGGGATGGATTTAGATGCTACAGTATCATTTACGTTCAGCTTCTTACAACAACAAAAAGATGCTAAAGGAAATCGGCTAGACTCCATACGTACAACATAAAGGTCGTTCTCAACGGATTCTCCTCCAGTTCCTATCCCACGAACGCAGGTGTCCCTCAAGGCTCCATCCTAGGCCCCACTCTATTCCTTATCTATATAAATGACCTTCCTGATTCCCTAAATTCCCAAGTTGGCATCTACGCGGATAACACCACAATTTATTCCTGCCTCAAAAACAAATCTAGTGTCACTGACAAAAGTAACCGGGCCGTGCGTCTCGAAAAGGACTTCCAATCGATTGTGAACTGGGGCAAGAATTGGCTGGTCAATTTTAATGCTTCAAAAACAAAACTGCTCTCTATTAATTATCATAGAGATCCTTCCCTGCCCCCCCCATTAGAATGTCTGACGCTCAACTTCTCGAGAGCACCTCTCTGCGGCTGCTCGGTCTCACGTTGACTGCTGACCTGAGATGGAACAAATACATTGAGCCAATTGCTTCGTCCACCGCAAAGGAAAGTTGACTCCCTGTGCCGAGCCAGGAATTTTTCTCCCCGGAATCGATTCTCCCGATCAACAATTCGTCCTTGCATGGAGTATTGCTGCCATATATGGTCTGGAGCCCCTTCTCTTTGCCTCGGGGTTCTTGATAGTCCAGAGGCGGATATGCAATATAATTGGTCATACTATGGCATCTTGTCTACAGTCACTTTCTGTGTTACAAATACTTTCCCAGTTCAAGCACCCTACGAGGCTGGCACCCCGCTCTCATCCTTTCACTGTCGAAACTCCTAAATGTAGCCGTCTCTTCTACTCCAATAGCTTCATGTCTCGACCCTCTCGCCTGTGGAACTCCCTTCCCTATTCCAGTTTCCCTGAGAGCTATAATCACCAGATATTCAAATGTAATATCAATCGGCATCTCCAGTTGCCTTGATCTATCCACTACCCTTCTCCTCATCCTTTCTTCTATCACTCCTATCTGACCATGCTCCAAATTTTCTGTAACCCCTTGCTTCCTAGTGGCTTCTCGCCTTGCTTGGGGTGATATATATATATATATATATATATATATATATATATATATATATATATATATATATGATACCAATGGCTAAATGCTTAACATACATGGTTGCAAAGTTTCAATTTATAATGGATGTGCGATATTTTCACTGTAATTTGTGGAACTAATATTTACAGTGAAATATGTTTGCTAAAGTTACAAGTTTTCGTACGAAAATACAAGGAAATACAAACTTAAAGTGAAATGCTTATAACATATGGAAAAAAGTAAAAC